TGTGTGTGTGTGTGTGTGTGTGTGTGTGTGTGTGTGTGTGTGTTGCATTATTATTGATGCACCTGAATGAGCAAACTTGGACGAAAGAACAGGAGTAATGTTGTTTGATTGCTTTAAACATTTTGGATTTTCCCTTCCCTCTTTGTGTTTGTGTGTATACAGCACACCCTGGCTGAGGTGTGGGTTCAGAAAACATCAGAGATGAATACCAGTCAGCAGTACCACTGCCGTACATTCCTGGGCCACCTTCTCAATATTGGAGACCTGGTGCTGGGGTACGTACGCAGAACAGTCAGATAACAATGAATAAATAAGGGTAATAATAAATAATGAAATAATGGTCAGTGTGTTTACACGTAATGGTTAATTTTCTTCTTATCTTGTAGGTTTGACTTTGCCAATTCCAACATCAATGATGAGTACCTTAATAAGATGAACCCTCACCATGTTCCTGATGTGGTAAGTGTCACCTGCACTCAGCGGTCACGATTTGTTGACTTGATTAACACTGACCTCTAGTGGCAAACTAAAACCCTGCATGGAGTTCTGAACGTTCATCCCTTCGTTAAATCGCATAGGAACAAAAATGCCGTGTGTTGTTGAATTTGAGCATTTGTACATTCAAAGGTGCTGATCAAGAAGAGCTACGACCGCAGCAGGAGGGTGAAGCGCAGGAACTGGAAACTGCAGGAGATGGCCAGAGACCGTGAAGGCATGGACACGGATGATGAGAGGTAAGACTGCTCAGCTCATTGAGATGAATGATGTATGGCTTACAAGCATTGACCTCTAAGCTGTCTTGGGAATGTTTTGTTTTTTTTGTTTTTACTCTAAGATTAAAGACTTAAAAGTTAAAAAAGCACTTTTGTTTGGGGCTATGTTCAGATGTTTATACAGTGGTTTGGTTTTTTTGGGGTTTTTTTGTATTCCTGTCGTCCTCCCTTCACTCCCAGCTGATCGTGGCTCCCCTCCCTGACCCTGGTTCTGCCAGAGATTTTCCTTCCCACTGTCGCTTAGTGCTCCCACATAGGGGTCATCTAATTGTTGGAGTTTTCCTTCCATTATTGTAGGGTCAACCTGAAGTTGTATAGTTTTCACTTGAAAAAAAAGAAAATCATACAAGTCAGGTTTATTGGTGTGAATGATTTGTTTCAACCAGTGTAGCGCTGTAGCTCACTGATGTGTGTTTTTGGACGACAGTGGAGGCGTAACAGATGAATGAGCTGCTTCAGACTCAGATACACAGAAAATACTTCTTAAAATGATTCATTATTAGTTTTAAGCTTTTCATACAATTTCTAAACATATTGACAGACACAGTTGCCAAGTGGAACTGCAGAGCTGTTAATATAGTTGAGGACACGCGCTTTACATAACTGTGGTTCCTCGTGCCTCCCCAAGAGTGACAGAGAGGGAGTGGATAAATATTTACAGTTTTTTTTTGCTAACATGAATGTTCAATAAACATGTTAAATGTGTATATTTTCCCTTTTTTCTTGAGTCCGTTTGCTCATGCAAAATGAAATGTGAATGAAAATTAATCCACAGTAACCCTGTGACGAATCAGATTAAACATTTTAATTGTTTGACAAGCACTAATATATATATATTATATATTTGTGTATACTTACCTATTAGTATATAGTTTAGTTTTTTTTAAGTTGTATTTCACAGGAGAGAACCTGTGCTAAAAGATTGAAGAATTCTCTTTGAATTTAAGCATTTAACATTCTTGTTTATTCTGCATTTACTTCATTAAATTGCATAAATGTCTGTTACAAGCTTAAATATAAAATTGAAAAATGTAATTGCAACCAGGCTATTGATCAAGTAATTGTAATTAATCACGATTAATTACAGAAAATTGTGAGATTAGTTAATTTTTTAAAATCTTTTGACAGGACTAAATATTATGCATTAATAGTCAGGTGAATAAAAAAATATCTAATCAAAAAGTGGGGGTGCTCCTCATGAAGTATTCTTTAAAAAATTAGCATCAATTTGAAACGCCTTGGAAATATCCCTTAAAAAAGAGCCGTCAGAGGGCACAACTCTCCCAGAGGTAAAAGGCTATGCTAAAACTTTTATGTTTTATGATGTCAAGTCACGCTGGCGTCAGCCTGTTATGGTCTCATTGTGACATCGAAGGGCGTTGTGTAGAAAACATAAAAAGTGTCTCTTACAGCTCGCTCCCTGTGATATGATGTATTACTCAATATGGTTTCTTGACATTTTTTTTTTTTCCCCCCAAGGTCAACTTTACTTTGGAGCTAGCAATGAAGGTCAAATGCTTAGCCAACCTAGGTACACGTGTCCTGGAAGGCCCAGTATATTATTGTGAAGTTTCAGATGATCCATAAAAATTGTGCCTAATATAACGTTTTAAGCTGTTTTTTCAACTTTAACATTTTCTATGACCTCGACCCAATTTTTCACCAAAATTAAGTCGGCTTGAGCTATCAACGCACAAAATGTGAAAATTACATGTTAAAAACTGGTTGATAGACTGCTAACAATCAGAACTGATTACTTACTCCCTCCCTTTGAGGTGAGATTAAATAACCAAAGGGTCTTATTATCATTTTAAGATTAAAGCCGTTACTTCCAGCACGCACATCTCTGGTGTAGACCACATAGGAAAAACACTTCGATACCTGAAACGAGGACTCAAGGGAGTTAATAGTTGTTTAGTGTACTAAGAGCGCAGAGTGTCATGTGGTTTGTCTTTTGTTATCTGTAAAGTAACCAGACTGGTTTTGCTCTCAACTTACTTTTCTGTCTTCAGGCAATATCAGGACTTCCTGGAGGACCTGGAGGAAGATGAGGCACTGAGGAAGAACGTCAATATCTTCAGAGGTGAGCAGCTGATGACCGCAGCACAGACTTACTCCCGCAGCAGCATCACGAGAGAGATTTCAGAGCCTTTGTTTAGGTTTCTATTGTCAGGTTACGGCTCATTTACCGTCAACGGCTGCTTGAGGTTCTGATGGAAGTTGTGTCACACGTTCATTACAGATGATGCATGAGACACTTAATGAGCAGATGCTGATTTTTCAATTTCAGATGCGTCAAAGATTCCGGTGGAGAGCGACACTGATGATGACGGAGCACCACGCGTTTCCCTGGCGGAGATGCTGGAGGAGTTGAGTCTAACGGACGCCACAGGAGGAGAGGGTGCCGACATGATGACGGACTAACCAGTCGGCGTTCTGACATTGTGACGCAGACAGCCGATTTATCAAATAAAGGCCCGTTTACAATACAACGGTGCAATTGCACACCGGATTTAGAACTGTCTGCAAATTGGGGACCGTTTCAAACATGGACAAATGATATGTTGGTGCAAACAAATCCAGTGGTGTACTGGTTTATGATGGTTAAAACGTACCAACTGTGAGTCATAATGGCACTCAGTCATATGAAACATGATAATTTATCTCCATGGTCTCAGTGGATTTTATCCAAACTGGGTCTTCAGATCACATTTCCTGTCTTTATATGATCCTCTTTGTCATATCAGAATAATATGAAAATGAAGCAGTTACAGCTGCTTTATCGAAATAAATCCTTACCCACACATTTTCTGCTGGTTTAGAGGCTCATGTTGTGAAGTGCTTTGCTTTATTTATCCACCAGAGGGAGCTTTGTGCTAGGAAGATATGGGAAGTAACTCATTTAAAGGAGGCTGGCAGCAAGCTGAGCAAAGTCTGTTAATGGTGTAATTTGGCTACTGTGGGCAAAATGCAAATGCTGTCCAGCTGCAACACCTTCAGCCAGCGAGCGTACCGTCTCTGTGAGGCGAGCTGATTTGAAAACGAAAGTGTAAAAATGGGCATTCTTCCCTTCTCTGTTTGAAGCCTGTCGCACCAGCATGTGCTTTAAATGCAATACATTTAAGTCAGCACTTATTTGTGCCTTCACAGTTCATTCAAATCATGCTCTCAAGTCTATGCTTAACCCATTGTGCCACTAATGGCACATTTATGACAAGCTCCTAGCTCCAGCTTACTCAAAAGGTGCAAAAATGTAAAGATCCAAACAAATTTTGGATTTCACTGCACATTAAAGCCGACTCTTTTACCAGAAATGCTCCTCAGAACAATTTTTCTCACATGAACACTCAAATTTAAGGCTTTTGGACCAGTAAAATTCAAGACTTTAACATTTTTGGATTATGTTGCTTGATATTCTGATAATATGCAGGATAATATAGCAATGTATTATGATAAATGTCAGGCTTGTGGGATTTCGAATGTAAATATATAAACACGGTGACAAAATCCTAAATCAGTTGTTTAGAAGCAATAAATGAAGTAGAACAATAAAAACTTGGAATGTATTTAACAGGGGGGTTAATTAACTCTATTAAATCTGATTTCTTTTTTTGTATGTGAATGCATTAAAGCAAACCATACTGGAACTGTGGTTAAACATGCCACCATGTTTGCTGGAACAGTTCAGCCCGCCACTAGCCAGCTTTATGTAATATAAAACAGAGGAATGTGTGTATCACAGGGTGTGTTAGTTTCACATTTTGACTCGGGGAGGGGAGGGGGCAGCCCTTGTTTTTCACAAACCTGAGCAGGTTGTTAACGGTAATCAGATCTACTTGGGAAAACGAATGAAGCGAATCCCCCCTGCTCTTTCTCTCTCTTTTGTGTGTTGGCCTAATTCACCTGTAGTTTCCCTGTTTACAGACTACAAAGTCCCTAAAGGCGGCTGTGGATGTCCGATTTGAATGATGATTTCCCCAGTGCTTGTCGCAGGCAGCAGCAGCAGTCGGTGGTTTCACTGCTCTTACAGCTCCTTTACAAACATGTGTCCGGTGTGAAGAAGCGCCTTCGTGAGCTGTGCCTGACATTTCAGACCAGTATCCATCGTCCTGACGCTAACTGCGGGCTTGACGGTGCATCTATGCGTCACCGGTGCGCTACCCGTGTTTACACATCAATAATGCAGTATAAGAAGTGAGCTGGTCAGCAAAGCTCACAGTTAGGAGATAAGATTTCTCAGCTGTATGTGTGCTTACAGAAAGACACCCTGCCCTGTGTGTATATGAGAGAGAGTTTCTTCCACAGGCGTGTCTGAGCTCCCTTGGTTGTCCCACAGCTGTATGCAGGCTATGAATCCATAGATTGAAATGATCAAGTCCAGAAGGAGATGTGAGGACTCCTGATTTGTTTTTAAAACACTTTGGAGAATGTTTAAGGCTGCATTCCCAGACATCCCAGAAACACTCAGTGTGAGTTGCAAAATATAATTAAAGAGGCATTAGGTGTTGTAGCCTGTTATTACTTCATCTAGTCTTATCACGGAGAAGGGGATGGAGAGGAGGAGGAGGCTGCTTTGGAAATGCTTTGTGAGCTGCATTCAGCTGAACGCGCTTCTTGCCGTTCTGTGTATAATCTCTTGTCGCTTTAATAATTTGGTTTCCTCTAATGAAATGCAAACTACAGCATACCGGGGTTGCGGTACACCAGTGTGGTCTCTGCTTGTTTTTCCGTTTTCCATCCTCCTCCTGCTGCTCCTGCTGCTGCTGCTGCTGCTGCTGGTGCTTGATTGCTCGCTGCTGTCTACGTCAGAGGTGGCGCAGTGTCGGGCTGCAGCAGCATGGTGGGACAGAGGCGATGCGACACCGACTGAACAAAGTTTAAAGATGCCGCACAAAGCAGCAGCACACCACACATGGCTGGGATAGAGGTCCGGCCCAGTCAACGCCTCTCCACCGTGCCTCTTATGCAAGGACTGTTTTCTTTTTCTCTGCGTAAACAAACACCGGCCTATGCATCGCATCTTTCGGACACTCCACCTGCGTGATCTGCGAGCCAGGTGAGTCGCGAGTCTAAGCACGGGTAGTGGGTGTGGTGTCATGTGTGTACCACATATAGGCTGGTGGTGAACTGGTGAAGCAGCTTTTTGGTTTACACAAAGCAGCGGAGCAGCAGCAGCGGCAGGGGGACTCCTCTGGTCTCATAATCGCAGTATAACGAAGGAATCTCACGTCGGCTGCCGAGGTGAGTGACGGCACAGGCTGAAGAGCTAATAAGCGCGCACGCCTTCTAATATATAGTCCATACACATGTATTAAAATCTAAATTCAGTAATCATTGCTGTGGGTTGATAACTAACTCTAGTTTCACTTGTTTATGTCATTTGGGCACAATTTATAACTTTTGCGCAAATTCTTGCAGGTTTCTGGGTCAAACTTGGCATTTTAAGCAAGGCACCATCCTAACACTAATGAAAAAAGAAAGGTAACTATCACAGGAAACTACCTCGTGGAGGCTTCAGGACAACAGTCCTATTAGACCCCTTTTTGTAACAAGGAAAGTTAATTTGATTGCACACGGTTGATGATAGCGGGTCTGTACTGGGAAGGAAACGTTGTTTTTCATATTCTAATAAATTGCACGACATTTAGAAGAGTGCACCTGTAACGCACCTGCTGGCCCCGCCCCCTACCTGTCTAGAAGGATCTATCACTGCCTGCCACCGCTTCAGCGTATATCATTTGTCATATTTGATAAGACGTATTCTGATAACATCACGGTCTTGGTTTTAAATCTAAAAAGTTATTTTTGTCCATAAATTCAGCTCGTTGGTCTGTGATGCGGCTTCCACTTTATGCTTCTTATTATTTCATAATTGTCAAAGATAGATGCAGTAGATAAATGTAAAGTATAAAAAATGTGTAGCTGTGTAACAGTAAAAATTGCACCACCAATGTTATTTCCAGCTTATGAGTACTTACGACATTTTCTGTTGAGCCTTGTATTTTTTCTTCTTCTACTACTACTACTTCTGCAGAATGAACTTCAAGAACTTGAGGGAGTACCTGGCTTGGTTATACTACCAATACCTGCTCATCACCGGCATCTATGTCCTGGAGCCGTGGGAAAAATCCATCTTCAACTCCATCCTCTTCTCTGCCATCGCCATGGTCGTCTACACCTCATACGTCTTTGTACCCATCCACGTGCGCCTGGCGCTGGAGTTTTTCTTAGGCATCTTTGGCGGCCAGCCGGAGAGCACCATGGCACTCATGACCTAAAAGAAACAAAACAAAACATGAAGGTAAAGAGACAGAAAATGTGTGGATGAGCATGAATCTGTCATCATATTTTCTTATAACTCACCTCCTTAGATCCTAGAGCACCTTGAGCCCTCCTTTTACAACAAGCTCGCCCTAAACCAGGCAATCAGCCACCTCTGCGAATCACGACTGAAAACATGAAGATCTTAATGGAACGATGTGGAAATCAGAGCCTTACTATCTTCTTTACATCCCAAACCCTCCAGCCTTACCCCATGGTATTAGACAGGCAGCAGAACAGTGCTTTCACACATGTCCTGTGAGATGTCTTATGATATGTTGTTTGTCCTTATTGATTTTTTGTTTGTTTTTGTTTTTTTGTTGTGTTTATCACCATATGTCCTGTGTGAGTGCATACCACATATGTGTTTTGCATGATAGGGTCATATATGGGCAGTCGATTTGCATGCTCATCTCACTATGAAATACTACTAGACTTGCTTCCTTTTTATTGCCTTTTAAGCTCCAGACTCACTATTTACAAAAAAGCAGACCGATCATTTTATAGTGTCTGAATCCAGTCTGTAAAATTTATGTCTGGCATTCTCAATTTACAGCTCACTACAGAGCAAGCTGTCACGTTTCAAGTGTTACACAGTGAGAGGCGACTACGTGAGTTCGAGATGATTTTAGACACAGCCCAAATTTCCTTCAGAGCCGTGGAAGGCATTATATGTCAGGCTCTGTGGGACTTAATGCAACAGGTAAACTAAACTTGCAATGCAACATCAGTGACGTTTCCTTTTTAAGTGTGTGTATGTTCGTTTATCTGATGTATCTGTGATGCCATGTTATCTCGTGCACTCACTCTGGGTGGTTAATCTGTAGTTTTGCATCAGAACCGCTATCACTGGGTTTTGTTTTTTTTGTTTTGGTGTTTGTTTGTTTTTAGTTGCCTTTATGAGCTGTAATACTGACTGGCAGGGCACATTACACATTTCACGTAGATGTCATTTAGCTGATCTTAACAGAGAGGACTGATAAAAAGCCCAACCTATGCAATGAGTCTTAAAACGTTCGTGTTAAGACTCTGTTAAACAGATTTTCCCAGTCAGTGTGAGTAATATTACGGTAAGCCAAAATAACAGAAGAGATACGTGCCGAGCCCTGCTTTATCTCTAGTTTATTAACTGTTGGCATTTCTGGTAGTTGTACTCAGCTCTGAGCTTGAGCAAATATTGATACAACACACCTTTGTGTTGTAGGCTTGGCTTTGGTAATTACGTAACTCTACTTCACAAACCCCTGAAATCAAAAAAGAACTGTTTGATGTTTCATACAGAATGCAAAGATACTGTAGACAAATTAACCCAAATGAAAAACAATGACATGGCTGACCAAAGTCTCCCTTATCTATAGTTGATCTATAGATAGAAAGTGAGTTTTAGTGTGTCTGGTAGCTGCGATGAGCATTGTGCGTTGGATCATTTTTAGCTATTTGTGCTTTGGGTGAGGGGCTCACTGGTTATAGTTCAAGCATAAGTAACAATGAGTTAATTTTATTTATATGGATTTATATATTTATATACACTGGTAAATGCTTGGCTGGTTACAATGTCAATTACCAAATGTTTTGTGATTATTTATATCTGTGTTCTCCTGTGGCCATACTTTTGTTATTTGCTCTGTTTCTCTACCTTAAAGTGCTTTTTATATTGTTGTATCATTTCATTTCACTTTGGATAAACATTTGCTGAAGTCTCAGACGTTTCCAGCTCAGACAATGACGCGTTCTCTGAAAAATCTGTTGTTTTTTTTCCCCACTGTGCACAAAATGAATGTTTTATTTATACATGATGGTGACACATCGCTCCAGTAATCAGAAAATAAAAATGCATCTGAAGATTCTTGGACAACTCTTCTCATTCTGTGTGGTTATTTATACATACTTATAGTTTTAAATGCAATTTAAATATTGTGGTCAGAAGTTTATGTATATTCATCAGCATGATTATCACTGTAATTTTGGGCTCATAATGAATTCTTCGGACAGTTATCTTTCCGGAATAAAATGATTGTATAGCACACATACACATACAAGCTCAAATATACATATACTCACATATAAATCTTTTACTAAGTGGCGCTGAAGCTTCTATAATGTCTTTCAACTTGACAAAGCTGAGGCTTAATAACTTCTCCTTAGTGAAGGTAGGAGATTTTTAGGATGTTCAGAAATGCTCTAGGAACCACTTAGGCTCAAACCAGCGTTCACTAAAACCTGCTGGAAAACCAGCATCTCTGTCCACAGTGAACTGATTTTTACACCGCTGTGGACCGAGAGGGTGACAACCAAGAAAGAAACCCCTGCTCCAAAATGAAAACCATTTATTTTGTGTTTTATTTATTTATTCGTAAATATTTATTTATTTATATCTAAATGAATAAAACATCATAAAGTTCTATAGAACTTTGCAGCTGCCCACATGGAAAAGCCAAAAGCCATCTGAAGCAAACGTCGATGTTCCAACGGGACAGCTATTGAGCTATTTGTTCACAATGACTGGGTATGTTTGGAGGAGTAAAGAACTCTGTACCAGCTGTGAAGCATGGTGGTGGTAGCATCATGCTCTGGGATTGTTTTGCTGCCAGTGGTACTGGTACCATACTTGCCAACCTTGACACCTCAGAGTTAGGGAGACATTCAAAAAAAAAAAAGGGGGGGGGGGGTTACATATGCATAGACATATACAAAGATCTTGAATTTTACAGTGAGTTAAATGTCACAGTTATTACTGTCCCTGAGCCGGGCTGTCCAAATTCAGAGGCTGCATCCATCTGAGGACCAGGCCTTTGTGGTCTAAGTGGGCCGGGTCCTCCAAAAGCCGGGTAGGCAGCCAAACCGATTTACTCAGGAACAAATAAAACACTGAAAAAAGTAAAACTATTAAATTTTTAAGTTATCTAAGTGACTTATATATCATGTTTAACCTGAGTAGCGAAAGACCATGGGGGTTTGAAAACGATGTGTTGGGAGTTCGCTGTTCTCGTCGGCTCAGATATTTTATGTTTACACAGCTACATTCTCACCTGAAAATATGCTAAAAGTTTATTTTGCGACCCAGAAAGAGTAATAAGACTGATATCGAAACTAAGTAGCTGCCACCATTGTTGGAAACTGGAATTGGCTGGGCAATGCTATGAATTCTGGGATATGGTTTTTCATTTTTGTTGTCCAGGTGGAAAATCAGGAGACATTCAGGAGAATGGTGGCTCCAGGAGATTTTCGGGAGGGGCGCTGAAATTCGTGATTCTCCCGGAAAATCGGGAGGGTTTGCATGTATGACTGGTACGTTGCACAAAGTGATGGAACATGAAGAAGGAGGACTACCTCAAAGCTTCGCCTCAGAGCCACATGAAGATGTTTGAAACTTGGATGCAGTTGGGTGCTCCAAGAGGACAATAAGCCAAAACACATCAAAGAGCTCCACAGCACTCTCTTTTCATATATAATTCAAAATACCTTTTCTCATGCAATGGTTAAACGCCAACGTGTTTCAGCACACAAGCCTTCATCAGGGAGTGAAGCAGAGGGCAGGAACCAACTGAACAGTGAAAAACTCCACCAACCAATCAAAGACAAGACAAGAAATAGACCACACTATCATATCAACCTCAGATAACATCCATCTTCAAAGGCAATTAACTTTAAAGAAGAAAAGTTTATAAAAATAAAAGAAATAAAACTGATATAAGCGAGGATGTCTAGTGAGCTGTACTTTAAAAATCCATAACTGATTTTATATAGTGCAGGCTAACATTGAGTTTCTGGAATGATCTTCCCAAATCACCATCCTCGTCAAGTGTGAGTTTGTCCGTATGTATTTGAGCCTGTGTGTAGTAGAAAAAATACAAAATATATTCAAACTTGGACATGCATTTCTTCTTTTTAAAGGTCTTTAAAGATGTACGCTGTACAATCAACAGTCGACCCTGTAAAAGTTCAAAGAAAACATTAAAGGCCACAAAAGTACCACAACATTTTTTTTATGATGAGTCAGAATGAACTCCTGGCTACAACTGTATTTATTCACACAGCTTCACGTCAGTGGATCAGAGCATTTACTTAGGAAAATTAAACAAGGAAAAGAAAAGCCTACAGGAAGAACATTTTGGACCCAACAGACTGTACCACATAAAACAAATTCAAACAATAACAGGCAAAGCCACCAAACCTGTTCTCTCTCTAAGGAGCAGGAATGAATGCCCTGGGCCATCCTTCAGATACTATATCCTGTGCATTCCTCCAAAGCTCTAGTAACATCAAGCCTGCCACATTCACTATATTTGGGGCGTAATTTAACCCAGGACTTGTGGAAGAATGTGAGATGAATGGGGCTGAATACAAATATCACTGCACATTTCATCTGGAGAGCGGATGTAGGTTCTGGCAATTGTTTTGGTTATCAGTTAAGCAAGACCTCGAGAGTCTGCCAAGGTTTATGTGTTATAACCAAACACCTCCACCTTGTTCTGTTGTTTTTTTTCCCCAGGATGTTGGAACAAAATAGCTGCAACACCATCAGCTGTTAACCTACAAACCCAACTCAAAACCGTTTTCACCCTTTGTCCCCTGCCCTTGGTGCTTTCTTTTCTCTTCTCTCCTATGGAAAAATAAGGCCAAGCACTAAACACTGTTATGCCACCCTGTGAGGTAAGTTTAGCTTCTGCCTCGGGGTCTTTGAAGACGTGTCCTCTGTTTACACTACCCTTGTTAATTTGAGTCCCATGGAGGACAAGGTTAGTGGTTATCTCCATAATGACAAGGTGTAAACAAAGCTTTCTGTAGACTCAAGCTTTTTTTCCTCAAAGCTCTCTGAAAGCTGATGTATTGTTTCCGTCGTGTGTGCACGTGGCCTGTGAGTGTGACATTCACTCACAGGCCACGTGAAAAATGAGAACTCCTAGCGACTGCTGAATGCAAAGACTGAGATGAGCATAAAAATGAGAATAACACATGCATACATGCCAGTGCTGCCACCACCAACAGCACCAGCAGCAGCAGCAGCAGGTTTCAGTTAACAAGGAAACCCCAGAAAGTATTCAAATATCAATATTACTTCCAACATGTGATACCACCTTGTACACTGAGTCGCACATGCACCCATTGAGACAGCCTCCATTAGGTGCGTGCCATCACAACAAATGTCTCCAAGGATATAATCTAAGACAGCTCTTTGGTCACAGCCTGTGACAGACATTGATGAAATACACAAAATACACACAATGTACTGCTTTGCATGACCTTTGAATGACATCTGTTACACTTTATGTTAGTCAGAAAGAGAACATGCACATTTTTCTTCCAATAAAAATGCCTTTGTATTCATTAGGAACAGAAACATAGTAACAAGCTGCATACGTCGGCATATGTAACCTATGGGTTACTTTCCAGTGCAGCTATTTGAATAGACAATGCAAACAGTTGTATTTCATTTGTTTGTCTTCCTGTGCAAAAAATAAGGACTTCTCCTTAAAGGATGGCAAATTGTTCCTTCAGTTTGTTACCACATATTCTTTAATGTAGGTCTTAAAGGTAAACAAGAACTTTGGAACAGCTTGTTCGTTAGCAATTACATTTATTGCACCATTATCATCCGCTTCATTCTGTAGCTTTAATTTTAATCATGTGAAATCATTCACAGTCGTCCTTGTCTGTAACCGTTTGTTTGTCAGTCAGCAAAATTCAAAAGCCACCAAGCTGAATTTCAGGAAACTTGGTGGAAAGGAATTGGGATCACTTTGAGAGTGCCCAACAGATCGAACTTTTTTCCGGTTAACTCTCGAAGACTAAGCCTTGTGATTTACTGTGAAAACATTTTATAAAGTCACTTGAGTCAACATGTGCCGCCTACTATCAAAGAGGAAACAAGACAATAACCTGCGGTTATAATGTATTTTAGTGACATTCACTGAGATTGTTTTGAGGGAATATTGTTTGCTCAGTTGGGTGTGTGTGTCTGGGTTTGTGTGTGTTGTCTCTACATTTATTGTTCTGTAGGGTTTTAGGTGGAGTCCTGGGTAAACATGCTCTGTGTAACTGGACCTTCTCTTGTAGCCTAATCATTCAGCTGTAATATCCAGGGCAGAAAAAAATAACGTGTTTTTTTGTTGATGTTGTTCATAAAAATTAATTTGCCCATAAAAACAAAATCCTGAAACACTGTTATTTACCTTGCCAGCTTCTACACTCTCACTCCTCTCTTTTCTTTTTTAAAGACCTCATTTTTAATTTAATTAGTTTTTTTTTTTTTAAACACATTAGTGGTAAAATATTCATTCACAAAACAACATGCATGAATGAGATGAGCCAGAT